CAGAAATACTATGTCCGTATCGTCGGCAATAATTACACTATTTTTTGAAAGATGGTTTGCCTTTAAAGTTTGGGTGTTTTTCATAAATATTGAGTATTTCAGTGATTTTTTCAACGAGGTCTGTATCTGATTCCTGTATATTGTTGATATTTGTGGTATTTGTTTCAATTCGGTTAACATATTGTAATTTCAGATTTTCTGTTTCTTCAAAATTCATTGTGATTTCCGCTTGCTCTAGTTTGTTTACTAGTTTTCGAAAATCTAAATCGGGCTCTCGAATTGAGGAGGGATGGGATGCTCTCTTTTTTATTGCTATTTTCCTTAATTGAGGTGTTAAGGTCATCATTAAGATTTCTGTCATTTTTGTGTTTTTGTAGTCGTGTGTATTTAATGAATATGCTTTTCGAACTAGTGTTTCGATGCGTACTGCTAATTGCTTGATGGTTTCATTTGGTAATCTGCGAATTTCATTACATAAAACTCTTTGTTGTTGTTTGTTTCTTTCGGAGTCAAACATTTTTGAAAATTCTTGTGTAAACCTTTTCCAATTTGATTTTATTTCTAGAGGCAATACTGAAAACCATTTTTGGGCTGCGCCGTCTAAAGTTGTTTGTATCAACGCTGTGCGTCGATGTATCCAGTTTTGATGTAGTGGCGTATTAATTGGTTCAGGTCCTATATTTATAATCAAATTTGCTGTTACTGCATTTAAATAGTCTTCTACAGAATATTCAGGGTCTGTTCCTGTGAATACCATTAATGGTTTGTTTGATGTTATTGATGATCCACCCATAAGGTATAGATTCATTGTCATTTGTAATGATTCTGCTGCATTTGGCTTTTGTGAAAAATTAGAAAGTTGATTTTTTGTTATTTCGTGTTGTTGAAGATAATATGGAAGTGGTATTTCATTTTGCAATTGTGTTGGTTGTTGATTTTGTGTATCTATCTGGTGTGGAGAAAAATTTCTATGATGTGTATATGGTTTCTGCATTCCTTGTCCGTGATATTCTTGGGTATATGGTGCAAATATATCTGGTTGTAAATGATCATCATCAGAGGATAGGTAATCCGTTTGATGAGGTGTTTGTTTTTTATTTTTATTCTGTTGAAAGAATGGGTAATTTTCACTATAATCCTGTGGAGGATGTGGATTAGCCTGAAAATTTACTGAATTGGTTGTTGCCATTGGATTATTCCAATATCGAGATCTGATTTGGTTATTATTATTATTTCGTGGAGGATAGTTTGTTTTTGATGAATGTGTATAATTATAATTATGTTCTGCAAAATTGTTTCTAGTGAACGTTTTACGTGTTTTTGACGGTATTGTCATGGGTCTGTATGTTTGATAATCCATGTGTGAATATTTTGGGGCAACCGAAGGTTTAACGGTTGATTGTAAGGTTACCTGTGTTTGTGAAGGGTTTGTATTTCTTGGTGTTGTTAAATTTGGACGTATCGGTGAAATGCTTTGTTGTGTAGTTGTTGTGTGTACGATTTCTTCATTTATGAAGTGTGATGGTGTCTGGATATCTTGTTGGGTGAGATTTCTAGTTCCATTGAGGTTTTCATTGTGTATGACTGTGAAGTTTAAACTATTATTTTGCATATCAGGTAAAAATGTATTATAGTTTAATGGTGTTGCATCAATGGTTAATGGTATTACTCTTACATAATCTCTTACATAAGATATCGTACTTATTGCTTGACTTGAGATTGATTGTGGGAAGTTTATGAATGCGGGATGAGACCATTCGGGGTCCCAAACATAGTCTGATTGTTCTGTGATGGCAGTATCATCGTTTGAGTTTTGGGGTCTAAAATTTTTTCTTGCTTGTGAAATTAAATCAATATTATGTGTGAAATAATCTATTATGAACCATGCCAAAATTTTTTGTAAGTCGTGTTTTGTATGTTGTGAAACTTCATCTTTCGTGAAATTTTCTTTAATTATATTTAGAAAACTAGAGAGTAGTGTGATTTCATGTCGTACTCTTATGTGTTTAGATGTTTCTGTTGGTGAGACATTTGGGATTGGGATTTCGTTTTCTAATATCGAGATATAACTATATATTATTGCAAAAACTTCATTGGTGAATATGGAGTTTGCTCTTTGTGAGTTATGATATTGTATGCTTTTTATATATTCTGAGAATACTTTTGAAAATTCTAAATCAAGGTCGTCTGTTTGAATTACATATTTGCTGTGATTTTGGTTTGGTGAGCTGAATTCTATAGAGTAGATTCCGTATTGTTGTGTTAAGTTGCATATATCTTTCAAATAGTGATCGATAATTTGTCTTTTGATTTTTACATCTGGGAACTCTGTTTTACATGGACTGATTCCGGGTTCAAACAAATTTAAGAGTAAATTTTTGCAAAATATATGCTGTCCTCTATCAGTGGTTGCATCTACGATAAAGGGGAAGATATCATCATCATCTGGACTTTCTTCACCTGGGGTGTGTGTTGAGCTCATTTTTTCGTTTGATGACTGTTAATATGTAATTATCAATGTGTCTAATTGGTTGATTCCAATTGTATAAATGTACTGGTTTGTGTTAATATTGCTTTTTATTCTTCTTTGTCCTCTTTTTGATGAATTTGAAGTTGTTTCTGAGTCGGTAAAATATAATTGATCGTGAATGGGGCAATTTTTATCTATAGATTCTTTTAATTTATAAAGTTCGTCTAAACTGCTGGTTTCTGATTCTGAAAATGCGTTTCGATTTTTTGAAAATCTTTTTCGTGTTATTTGTCTTTGTTTGGTTATTATTTTTCTTTTTAGTGTTTGTCGTTTTGTTCTAATGTATCCAACTGTTTGTGTATGAGGTGTGATTACAAGGTCGTATTTTTTGTTATCTATTTCACAATTGTGTAAAACGATTGTTTGTTTATTTCCTAGGTTTTTAAATGACATAAGGTTTAGGATGACGGATGCAAAGAGTTGTTAAATGATTTCTTTTTTCTTAGACTGTTAGTCCTTACGATTTTTTGGTTAGCTTAACTTGGGTCTATTTGTTCAGGGTTGGAGAGAAAAGTATATCGTTTCCGAAGAATGATTTTATACTTTCTCGTGGCTAGTATAAGCTAAGGTGTTAACTTACTTAATCTTACTTAAGGGTAGTGATTGTGTTCAAGGGTTGGAGAATAGTAAATCGATCCACAAGGTTCAGGTATAATTAGAACGCGAGTAGTTCGTTAGATACTATTTTAAACTTACTAAGTCTAAGATTTATCCTGGGTCTGGTAAGAGGGGGGATCAAGTGAAGGATGAATAACCGAAGTTCTTCACTGTTTATCCTAATTTGAATGATTAGTTTTGTTCAAAAATTTCTGTTAGTCCTGGGTTTTTAGAAAGGGTTGGATAGTGAATCGTCGTTTGAGGTCGTTAGACACTAGCTAAGTGGGTGGGGGAGAACAAAATTGTTCTTTTTGATCCAAGGATAGGCCTTGATGATCAAGTTTTAAATTTAATTTAATAGAAATTGATTTAAGATCCAAGGATGAGCCTTGATGATCTGATTTTAAATTTAAGTGAATTTAAGTTTAAAATGATTTAAATTTGTGTAGAGAAAAGATTTAGTGTTTTTATGATATTAGTGAGCTTATGAATGCTGTTATGTTTAGGTGATGAAGCTGGAACAACAGGATGATTTATGATTACTTAACCATTTATTGTCATGCTACTAATTTTTATTTTGATTTTTCAATAAATATTTTTCAAACATGTTTTGTATATTACTGCAGAATTTAGGAAAACGATCTGAGATCTTTTTATCAATCGTTATTGTATATTAATAATTTTGTTTAGCGCCTGAAATGATTTTGAAGATTGACTTCAAGATTTTATGTTTGCAAATGAAAATCTAAATTCATTGCTAGTAGTATTCTAAATACAAAAGTTTGTGTTGGCTTTTGCCGAACTATCATATAACTATATGGTAAGTTTCTACTTTGTCGTATGTCGTCTCTGGTTCGAGGTCTTCTTGCAATTCCGGGTAGTTCTCTTATCGTTCGGAATATTGGCTTTGATCTATTGAGTCGTAGAGACATTTCAATTAAATTATCGTCGTGTAAAATTTTAAAAATGTTTTGTCTAAATTCTAATCTATTTTTGGTTAATTCTAAGCTATTAAGGTCTTGTTCGAGACTTATGGTCGCACCAGATGAGTTAGGACCGAAGTGTATAACTCATAGAGTAATTTCGGATAGAATACACCGTCTGCTCGTCACGCTATCATATTTTCGGCCGGATAGATTCGTGCAACTTCTTAGTCTAATACCAATCCTAATCTTACTCTTATACTATCTAGTCTCAGGTTGTTTAACTAGTCTCTGCTAGGCTCAATAGATCTAGGGTATACTGGTTTATTGCGGCTGCTGAAGTCTTCTTGGAGAGTCAACTAATTTCTAAGTTAAATTCAAATCTCTCTGGTGCTGAAATTACTAGTAATTTCAGCACTTACAAATAAGTGGATTGTTAGTCAGATGGATCATGATTGGTTAATATTAAATACTTTACATTGGTAAAATATCTAATTTATCCAATCATAAAATATAGTTTAGATCAGGTTCCAAGAGGCCTCACCCGAAGGTTTATGATGTAAGCTTGAAAAGCTTTGACCCGACTTGCTAGAGCTCTCATTGCAAATATGTGTGCAATTTAGAACAATTTTCACTTTGATATCGGTGATTTAAAAAAAATTGTTGATCTAGTTTTGAAAAAAAAACTCGCAGTATCAAGTTTGAGTTCATTCACTAATTTCTTGAAAGGAAAAAAACTAGCATAAGTATTATGACGCAGGCACAAACTTATTAATCTATTTTCTGCCCACCAGCAAACTTAGAGTCAAGAAACTTTTTCGCGCTGATCAATCATTATTTGAAACAACATATGTTGGCTCAACACCCAACTCCAACCACATTTGAACGACTTAAAATCTGTCAAAAGCAATTCCAAATTGCGTAGGCTGACAGAAGAACTAAAGCATCACTTGTGATTGTCCACTGCGAATGTTCCTGGTACGAGTCTAAGTCCAGTCCCCCCTCCGCACAGTCGATATTCACCTCCTTGGAACTGTACTGCCATGAGCCCAGTGCAATGTGACAGAGTTGTTTGTCGAAGGGGAAGTTGGACACGTCCATGCTGCAGGTGGTGGTCGTGGTTGCCCGAGTGAGCCAGGAGGCGTAGCCAGATGAGGTGACGGACACCGGGATAACCTGAGGAAAAAGTCCAATTTAATTCATTTTCATAAAAATTTGTAATAGGTTTTTAATAATTAATGGATTATAATGGAGGCAAATCAACCCATTTGTTGACATTTTGACCTTTTGAAACATCTTTTATTTTGCTAGTAACCATCTCAAATACTCAACCAAACAAACTCAAAAGCTGTTTCCAAAGATTTTCCGGTGCATATATATTTCTTCGGGACATATCTGGGTGTTCATGATTCGACTATCATTATCTCTAATTATTGTTGTCAGCAGACCTGCTTGAACTTGAGTGGGTCGTACTCTCCGACATCATTGAAGGGCAGCATATCCGGAATCCACACTTCCGTCATTCCGAAGCGCGTCTTCTCAATGCCAGAATACTTAGACGGATCCCACCTGAACAAAACAAAAAAATAAGGTCGATTGTCCGAAACCAGCGTGGATCAATTTCAGCAGTGGCGTGCGCAGAAACTTTTCCAGGGGGGGGGGCGGTTTTTCGGAAAAAAACAGGCAAATGCGTTTTGAGGCACTTTTTGAATAATTTTGACCAAAAATGTGTGTTTTTTTTTCGGCGCGGACTGCCCCCTCAAAATTAGTTAAGTTAGCGACCAAAGTTTCTTTAGAAAATTTTTGAAGTTCGTCAGCTGAAAATGGATGTCGTTAAGTCAAACCAAAGGGGGCCTTTTGGAAAAACTTGGCAACCAGAATTAAGGTGGAGGAGAAAAGGGCGGTCCTCCACCTTCATAAATTGTGAATACCTCTTGAGTAATTGATTTGACTATTAAGTTTGATGAGGAAGATTGCGCTGAAGAATAACAATTTATGGAATAACCCTCCAAAAAGGAACGATTAACAGACTTATTATGACATTGAATTTGACCTGAACTGACCTGAGGTATTCGTCTGTCCACTGCGTCCTCTGCCACAGAATGAGACTCATGGTCTCCTGTTTAGCATCGAAGGCGACCAGTTGGTAGAGGGATGCCCCGAACAGCACGCGTGTGGGATGGGAGAAGTTCAGCACTGGGCGGATGCTCCTGCTGTAGTTGAGCTGGAAAAAAGAATACTTAAGCAATCATAAGGTAGATCAACCGCACAATAGATCTGAAATCAACACACAGACATACACACATAGACGTACACCGTCCGGGGATGGGAAGACGGAAATAAACTGATAGCATATATCAAGAGATTGAGATGTGTTGCCTAAATACATTCAAGACGCTAACTATAAACCCCCTCTAGCTCATTATACGAGAAATGCCAAAAGATTGAACTTAATTTTGAAAAAAAATTTAGGTTACCTGCAGATCTTTATGCAGGTCGTGTTCAGGGCTTGGAACTCCTTGAATGCATGTAAAAATAAAAACTAATAAGTAGGAATGGCTAATCAAAAATATAAGAACGTCTCCAGCATTTGCCATTTTTCAGTCAAAGGATAATAATTAGAGTTTTTTGTAGTTGTACTGGTTAAAAATTAACAGTTTTTTTGAAGCACTTTGAAAGGGATTCGCATCTGGCGTACAAGTTCCACATCAAGTGCATCCAACCAGAACTGAATGCGTACTCGTGTCTCCTTTCTAGCACAGTTCCTGAAATCATTCAGGTTTTTCTCGCAACTTAAGGCTCCAGAGGTTATGTATTTTCATAAAAAAATTAATGCAATTGATATGAATGCAATTTTTGCAAACAAGTTCATGCTGAATCAAAATGCTCATTTGCATGCATGTGATATCACTTCCGGTTATGTTTTTAATTTCATATCATCTGTTTTTGCATGTGTCATATTGGTTTTTGGGCCGCTATTTATTTGTTTAATATTTTTTGATTTTTTGTATTTTTTTTGAACGGGTCTCTAACAAAAATTTACAAACGAATTGAAATCATTAAATCATCAAATAATGATTTTTCAACTGCTCGAACATTTTTTGAAATTTAAAGACCTATTTTTTTAACTGAACCAAGCGGCATGTTTTCTATGAAGTCATGGATATGACTTAAAAGTCAATTAAATTGGCAATAATACTTCTAGTTTACGCCACAGTATCGTTTTTGCAAGAGCGATTTCGGGGTCATTTTTTGGAGAAAAAATTATTTGAACAAAAATTATTAATTGATTTTAATTATTTTGGAGTTTTATTTTGGTTGTTATAATATGTCAACAACAAACACACGGACACAAGATGTGCGAAGGAGTCAACCGCAGAGTGTCACACAGAACAATCCCAGACATCAGGTTATCTTCTCATTTTAAATATTCTTTGGGTTAAATTTGAGAAAAACCATTTGGACAAAATTATTTTTGTAACTTATGTATTTTAACTCAGTATTTTTTACTTGTACTACAGAACTTTTCGTTTTTGTGATTTTTATCACAGCCTCAAGGTGATGAAGTTTTAATTTAGGTCAATTGAAGAGTATTCAAGACCGTCTCTTTTCTGCTCCTCCCCCTCATTTGAATTTCAAAATGGCAAACCTAATTTAGTGTTGCGAAATTGAAATATGAAGTTCAATGTGGTGGAAAATTACCTATAATTAAAGTATTTCAACCCCACGCCGTAATATCATGCATTTAGCTATAATCGCATTCAAAAGAACTTAAAAATGGAAAATTTGCACCCAAAAACGTCATGTATTGAACATGATCAGATCACTTCATTTTTATGACCAGGGCATTTTGTATGATCTGTAATTATATCAGTTCAGCAGTCTTGCAAAAAATTCGACTAGCCGGTTTGGTATAAGTTTCTGTTGATGCTTCTTATTCTTATGATAGAACTTTAACTATCAAATAGTTTAAAATTGGAGCGGATCTAGAGTTTTTTCGATGGGGGGGGGGCAGATTTTTTTAAAAAAAGCTCAAAAAAGTTGTCGAATTTTTAGTTCAACCAAATTGATTTTCCGAGGGCTTCCAGAACATTATAAAGACCCTATTTTGACGCTGGCAAACTTTTGAAAAACAGGTCAAAAATGCTGTTTTTGACGCGCTTTTTGGAAAATTTTGATCAAAAAATTGCGTTTTTTGTGGCGCGCTCCCCTTCAATTTTTTGGCGCGCACTCCCCGTAAATGCGTTTGAAATTTTAGGTTTGGTCAGCCTAAGATGGATGTTATAAAATAATACCAAAAGGGGGACCCTGTGGTCGGTGAAGAGGTCAGTTCCCTGAGAAACAAAGCGTCCATCCCTCACCCCCCACTAAATCCGCACATGGCTTGACCTAAGAATCTAGAATTTTGCAAATCTCAACATTAAAATTGTTGAGGCTAGTTTGCTGAAAAGTTCAAGACAAAAATATTTAAAACTTTGAAGTTTTCAGACGTAATATCAATTAATTAATGTTTCCAGTTTTTTTGAGACAATGAGAACTAATATTGTCACAGGTATCTGTTTCTTTGTCAGTTTTGACAATGGGAACAAAATTTTGAGCCACTCTCCTCCCTCAACTCTGGTTGCCAATTTTTTCCAAACGATCCCCGTTTTGGTATATATTTACCAATTTTAACAGTTTCATAATGATCCATTTTTGCCTGGCGAACATCAAAAAATTTCTAAAGGCGCCTTGGCGCCATTATAATTATTTTGTTTTTGAAAAGCGCGCATAAAAAACGCAGCTTTTGGTAAAATTTTTCTTAAAAGTGCTCATAACGTCTTTTTTAGCAGGTTTTTTTTTTAAATTTGCCTGAGCTGCAGACAATTTTTGACAAAATAGGGTTCTTATAATTTTTTAAGATCTCGCCAAACCAAATTGGTCAACATAAAAGATGATCGACAAGATGTTCAAATTTGTTCTCCTAGGAAAAATTTCTGCGCACGCCACTGACTTTGAAGATTTTAAAGCTCACTTTTTGAATTTGGATTCACATTAAAAGATCTTTTTTAACATCTGAACTAGTTGCCATTTCCAGGTGTTTGCAACTAAAAACCTTTTTGGCTATTATCATCACAAGGGCTGACCCCGCGCCACTCTTACGAACGTACATTTTCTTACCTAAAACTTGATCTGTTTGTATAGTTTATGGAATTTTTTTGATGCATTTTTTTCTTTTTTTGACGAGCTACACAAAATGAGTTTTGATAGACAAAACTTTGTTTAGAATTACAGTTTTGTGTAGTGCTGTTTTTTCCCTCATTTCGTATAAAACGAAGCCTTTTTTTTGGTTGTATTATTTTATCCAATTTTCAAAAAAAAATTGGGATTGCTTGGAAAACGTTACGCTGATTATTTATGCATGATAAATTATCATAAAAATGATTGTTTGAACTGATGTAAGCTACAAAGTCACCAGAAATTCCCTAGACAATTCAAGTTTTACCATTCAACTTTAATACGATGATACCTGGGGAACGACGATTAAACGCTTATTCTCGAGGGCTTTCTGGGGAAATTTTAGGAACTTTTCCCGTTAGTTATTGCTTCTCGGTCTTTTGTATGAGATAAAAGTAAAATATCTAAGTCTGGAACGCGGGAAAGAAAAAAAAATGAAAAGTGCTTTGACCGGCATTATTTATCACTGTACTCTGAAAACTTCTTACAAATCACTCGTTGACTATTTGATTAATTGCTGACAATTGCCTGTAGATTTAGTGGACTGCTTTTCTTGGTTCGTTCTTTTTTTCTCTCTTAACGAGACCGCAAAAAGATCACTTGCGTACTGAATTCAGCAGGGTGACCGAGATTCAGTGCAATCCACAATCTGGAAAGCGTTAAGTTGGTGGCAATTATTCTGTTCTCTATTAAGCTGCTTTCCCTTTTTGCCACTGTTCTGTAGCTGTATCGGTCTTCTTCACTATCACATTAGCTTTCAATAGTCATTAAATTCAGATACAAAAAAGTCCAAATATAGACAGCTCTGGGTGACCAGATTAAGATCTAATAATCTACTCAAAAGGCAAGGGTTTGCGATTTATCAACACAATTACCTAATTGCAATTGAATTTCCCATTACCACTAAGTAACCCGCTATGCTCGTCTGGTGTTCAATAGCTCAATCAACTGTCTCTCCCTCTTGAGATATCCTTACTTTTACGTTTTCGCACTCACTTGTAAAAATCACTATCCTCACAAGTGTCGAATTGTTCTCTCGAACTAACTATGAGATGCAACCGTCCGCTCTCTCAGCGCAACTTTTCTCCCGCTGACTGAGAACTCAACTACTAGTAGCTAATTCTGTTCTGCCTAAGGGTAGACTTTTCGTAACTTTTTCCTAAGTTTGTCTTTTTGAGTTTTAGTTATACTTATAAATGTGATTGTCGGTGACATTTACTCTGGTACCTTTTGTGCAAGGTTCCAACGGAACTTTCCCCCTACAAAAATCGTTATGATTGCCACCCTCACCATAGGTATCTCAAACTAAACTGTTCAAAAATCGAGTTCAATTTCACGTTTAAACCCGGTAATGTTTGATTAAACAATCTCCCAATGACTTTTTATTTATCCCGTTAACGTTCCAAACTTGCGGGGGTGGGGGAAAATCAGTTTCATGGGTAGCTAATTCACTTCAAGCATCTAAGACTCCCAACTATACGCTTTTCCAACTCCGACCTTCTAGCTATCACGGGGTTATTTGAGGGGTTATTTGGGAGATGTACTTCCCATCCCACCCTCCTTCTACAGCCGATATCCTCTGAGACCACTTTTATGATTTCAAGTTGAACTTCTAATGATAGCCTATTCGCCAAGCCAAGCTGAACGCAATTTATGCCAAGTCCACAATCATGAAAACCACTACTTCAATGTTATAATATAAAAGCTCTTTTGTCACTTCAGCTTCTGCTTCAGTTCCCAATTAATATATGTTTCCTTCCATTTACAGGTAAGGTAATAGATCACCATTTTCAGGGGTTCGATCTGGTAATTACGCCTGCTTCCAAAATTAATCTCGGCGTTTTCTATGCAATTTTGGTCTTGAACACAGCAATGCCATTTAACGGTCCCCACAGGGTCACTCGGGATCAGTCTTTTGTTTTTCAATTCAGAACCCCATGGGTGTCCTATGTAGCAAATTTCATGATCTCATTACTACTTCCCATGTTGTCGCAGTTCCAAAGTTTTTTTATATTACTATTTTTCCCGGGAAAAAGCTACTAACACCGAAGGTTTTTTTTGGTCTACAAGATGTTTTTCTCATTTAATTATATTATCCGGTCCAATCATCGGATTTGACTATTACTATAAAACATGATATACCCTGACACTACCTAGTAATTTTACAAAGTTTTGTCTCCCTGCATTCAGTGAAATTAGTTGGAACTCTTTGTTTAGGGCTCACCACCGGAAGTAAAATCCAGGTGGTATGGGATTTTAAACTCAAGCTTTCCTGTCCTATAAAATCGTAAATTTTGGTTCCGTTCCCACAGCTAGATGCTGAGACCTGATAGGGCTACTTGCACTTCCCGGAACGTTCATTTTAGCCCATCTCTATCCGCCCTGCGAGTATTTTAAAGTTAGCTTCTCACGTTCCATTTGAAGGGGGTCCGCCGATTTTACTTCAATTGAGTTTTTAGCCATAGGAGTTAATATTTTTGTAATGATTGG